AGTTGGTTGCAATCATGGCGACCTGATGTATAACAAAATGGAACACTGCCAGCTCCTATGCCATCTTCGTGGTCGTCGATATGACTGAGTTCACTGTTGAGGCTATTGTGTCAATCCATCGCATTACGGGTTTCTCTCATTTTTGCCGATCCTCTGCTTTACCAAACATGATGCTCGTAAGCTATTCATGACTCTATATCCCTATAAGGATATACCCCAAGGATAAAACAAAGTGCAAAATAGCTGAATAGTGTTTTCAATAATCATCTGTTGTTGGTGGTGTTGGTATTGTAAGACTGATAGTATTATGGGTGTATGGTGAGGTAAGGAACATGAGTAATTATGTTGACATCTCTCAGTAAAATGATTTTTGCCAAGAGAGAATCAACACGTGAAGATTCGTAATTTTAACTAGAAATCCCATAACCTTGGATATGAACTAGAACTATCAACATAGCTATTATTTGTAGTTCTTACTCAAAAACAAAAAAAACCATGTTTCCTTGTGCTTTCAAATAGACCTAGAAGCAGGGTACCACCCAGAAACAGTGGGCATACCCAGCACCACAAATGTGACACATATATATCATTTTTTATTACTAGGGTCCAGGGCTCTTTAGAGAAATGGCCGATTCCAGGTCATTGGTCAAAAAATAACAAGAAAAGCATCAAACATTCTGTTATACCAGAAAGCCTGGGTAATGAGTACAAATGGGTTCCCTATAATATTTTCTTTACTCTTATACATGTTTGAAAAGTTTTACAATACAAAAATGAAAAATAATGAGTGATAAATTAACTGACTTTTAAAAGTACCTTGTGTATGAAGACATTTTGAAAATGAATATTTAGAAATGTTTCCATCATTATGTGGTTTTGTGAAGAAAAAGAGAGTTTACCAATACAAAATTATTATATTAAAAGCATTAGAGAAAAGAATTTTCCATCTTGCATAGAAGTCTTCCAAATGAATGTTTCACTGTTTTTGAACTCTTCTGTTAAAAATGTAAAAGCACAATATCTTTCAATGAGTTTTACTTAACAATATATTGGCACACATATTATGTGAAACTTATTAAAAAAACTTTACATATAAGGTCGCTATGAGTTGGAATCAACTCGCCGGCAGCGGGGTTTTTTTATGATTGAAAAATAAGAATCATAATTTAGAAAACTAACAGTGCAATTAGCTTCTTAGATTGAGATCTGTCATCATTCTGAGGCATATTTTTCAGCTGTGATACACATTAAAACTAAGCATTGAAATAAACTGAACTTAAAACCAGACCATTGAATCAAGGTAACACATAGGTTCAAACGACAATTTTCAAAACGAAAGGCGTATATTCAATCACATTGCGGTCATTAAAATATGTCTGCCCTTAATATGTATCCTACTCCATATACACGAATTAACTCAAAATGGATCAGTGATCTAAACATATGAGCTAAAACTATAACACTATTAGGAAAAAGCATAGGGGTAAATCTTCAAGACTATGTTTTTGACAATAGATTCTTGCATATGACACTACAAGTATGAACAGCAAAAGAAAAAAAATTGACTTCATCACATCAAAAACTTTTATGCATCAAAGTACTTCTAGAAAGTGAAGAGACAACACATAGAATGGGAGAAAATGCTTGGTAACCGTCTCTCTAACAAGGGTTTAGTATCTACAATATATAAAGAACTCTTAGAATTCAACAACAAAAAGACAAACAACTCAACTAAAAACGGGCAAAGGCCTTGAATAGTAGTTTCTCCAAAGAAACACACATATGGTCAACAAACATATGAAAATATGTTCAAAATCAATGATCATTAAGGAAATGCAAATCAAAACCACAATGAGATACCACTTCATACCCATTAGGATGGCTCCAAAAAAAAAAAAAAAACTGAAACAAGAAATGTTGATAAGGATGTAGAGACATATGAACACTTATACATTACTGGTGGATACGTAAACTGATGTAGCAGCAGTGTGAAACAGGTTGGTGGTTCCTCAAAAGGGTAAACATAATGACCATATTGTCCATCAGTTCTACTGGTAGGTATGTATCCAAAAGAAACGAAAACATTTGTCCACACAGAAACTTGTACACAAGTATTTATAGCAGCACTATTTGCAAGAACCAAAATGTGGAAATAATCAAAATATACATCAATGGATGAATGGATAAACAAAACGTGGTATGTACATACAATGAAATACTTTTAAGCCATAAAAATGAATCAAGCACTGGTAACCTGCAATGACTCGGGCAAACCACGAAAGCATTATGCTAAGTGAAGAAGCCAGACACAAAAGGTCACATATTGTGTGATTCCTTTTAGATGAGCTATCCAAAATAGGCAAATTCATAGAGACAAAAACCAGATTAGTGGTTGCCAGAAGGAAGGGAACGGGGCAACAGAGAGTGGTTACTCAGTGTTTATAGGCATTCTTCCGGAAAGATGAAAAGTTTAGGAACTAAACAGAGGTGGTGGTCGCATAGCATTGTGAATGCACTAAATACCATTGAGTTGTACACTTTAAAATGGTTACTTGTATATGGTGTGGATTTCATCTCAAAAAAATGTATTTTATATGTATACATATTGTATAGGAGCCCTGGAGGCACAGTGGTTAAGAGCTTGGCTGCTAACCAAAAAGTTGGCAGTTCAAATCCACCAGGGGCTCCTTGGAAATCCTATGGGGGCAGTTCTACTCTGTCCTCTAGGGTCGTTATGAGTTGGAATTGACTCAAACACAATGAGTTTTATATATTTATATAT